ACGGACAGGGAGGAACCACCGAACCGAAGGTCTCGTCAAAACTCGCGCACGTGTCAAAGCCTGTCTCTTTAAACGCTGTGAACCTTCTGCCACATTCAAATTGCAAAGAAACTAGCATTCGCCAAAAAAAAACAATGGTATGTTTTTTTGACCGCCCGTGTCTAAGTCAGGGATGCCGGACAATCTCTGGCTTACTGAGACAACCGACTCCAACATCGGGGCCGAGACTACTGCCGGCTGTGGGACGTTATCCAGCGGCTGTCAGGTCCGCCCGGGCCCCGTCAGAGGAACACCCGACGGCTGTGAGATGTCACTCCAGTCCAAAGGCGCAGCCAGAACTCTTCGACGGGGGGGGGGGGCGGTGAGTACACCGCACAATGAATTTTTCATTTTTGTCTCGAGTCATGTATGGGAAAAACGAAACTAAAATCCCGGTCTAGGGAAGGGGCGGCCCCGGCCCGCTCCTCTTCGCCGCTCCCCTGTTCCAGTCCGTCAGGTGTCTCCCGGTGACTATCAGGCGTCACTTGTTAGCTGCCGGCCGTCACCGGTGGGTGTCTGCCGTCACTGGTGGGTAGCGCCGCGAACTGTCCAGGCATCGTGGCCGCGGTGCAGCCGCCAAGGTCGGTCGCGCCCTGTTGCACACGTCCCACTTCCGCCGAGCCGGGGGACACGCACCGGGGCGGCTGACGACACTGAGCCACAGCCGTCAAGCACAGCCGTGTTACAACCCGCCGTGAAACAGTCGTGTCACAGCCGCTGGTTGTGATCATCATCACAGCCTCTGGTCACAATCAGCGCCGTTAGGGACACAGTCTTCAGAGGCAGATAATGAAGCCTTTCGTTTCACGTCTCGAAAGAACAGCCGGTTCGCCTGGCATTACCATCCACTCCATTCATCGCGGAGCAAACTCAAACACCTCGACAAATATTGTATTCAAAAATTTCATTATCTACTGGCATTTCCTAATAATCGACGAACGTTCAGAGAATCCATTGGACGGATCGTTACAATGGCGGAGCGTTACAACGTGCGCATTCCACGACAGTGGGAAGCAGCGCAAGGCATGCGCTGCACGAGCAAACATGTCCGCTTACAGCCGTCCATACACGTCTCATTTATTACGCGAGCCACGGCGAAGGTAAGCACAAACCGGTAGCTGGGCTTGGCGAGCTTTACTGAAGTCGTCTGTAGGGTGAGCAGTGCCTATGCGAGTGTTTTGAATTGCAGATCATATACACGCCTCAAACTTCACGTTTACCAACTCTGCTTCAAGAAGCTAAAAACACGTTCGCGCGACCTCTTGCAATGTCGCTGAAAGTCTTATAAAAATGTTACAGCTGCATTCGACAAGCACTTCCAAAGTCACCGAAAGGTTTTAGCACAACATAGTGACGGGTTGAACAAGCATCAAATCATGGCATTTGCGCATGAGAATCCCAGCTCCATGGAATGGTTAGAATTGACGCCTACACTTGCGAAATGCAATGCACCACAGGTGACCGCCATCCATTTGGTCGGGAGAGTCCGTCACAATATGCCTTTAATCTCTGAGATTCAGCAACTGATAATAATGTCCAGTGTACATATTGTCCCAGCAGCGAACATTCTGCCTCAGCAGAGATTTTCTGCCTGCATATCCACAACGCACCGCGCTGCTAACTAGCTATTATCGCGCCACCTGCAGCCAGCACACCAAACCGAAGACCGTCGTCATGGCGACAAGCAGCGCCGCCCCGCGGAGACTGGCGGAACTGTTGCAGGCGGATGTGCCGCATGTAAGTACGCACGCCTGGTACGTGTTCGCGTCGCCAGGGCGTTTGACCCATTCGCAGTAATCGCCGAAGTTGCGCGACGAACAGAACCGCTTCGTGCCCAGCTGACCTGCAACGCCGCGCCTATATTGTCTCAGACGCGCCGCTCGCATGAGTGAATAAACGAACGACGGGGTCATCGACTACGGAGACATACTCGCGGAGTATGACTCCTGGCATTTCATAACAAATGCCTCACGGCCAAGAATGGCTAACAACTTGATTCCCAAGGCTGCGCACTGGCCGAGTGGTTGGGACTACAACATGCGACGTGACTGTCGATTTCAATCCAGTAAATCCATAGAATCCCTGAGCGTAATTACGCGTTGTAGTAGCTGACTGGCCGTTGACAGGGTGCCACGACAACGTGCATTGCGCTGCTATTCAGCGCAATCAGCTGGTTTTTCGCATTTTTATGACTCACTTTTCGGAAAAATGCAGCCACATATTGGAAACCTCAACGGCCTTTCCGTATTAACGTCATAAGATGACAATGTTACAATCGATGTATGCATAGATCACGTTTATCCATCATGAGCCATTGTGCGCCGCCAGACAAACATAAATGGAGGCAATTGCAAAATAAGAGACCGATTGACTTATAAGCGATCTTTCACGTCAGAAAACGTACGAGTACATTTCATGCAAGAAATACGTTCAGCGGCTTCAAACTATAAAATAAATAAAGCACGTCCAATGCCCATATCAGAACTGCCAGCCGTAGACCACCAAGAGACCACGTCAGATCAATGCACAAATGGCATTGACATACGTGGCAGCACAACAGGGCACGACAGTTCACTCAATCGATCGCATACAATACCCACGCCCAGCTTCAAACGATAAACAATGATGCGTCATGAGCGCAATGCTGATTTGTCTTTTCCAAGACAACAAAATAACCACGCGAGTGAAACACTCAGATCTAGGTACAGGCACTTTCAAAAGAAAAAAGATCCATCCGAAAAGTAAGAGCTCATGCAACGTCTAAGAACCACCCACACCGGAGGACAGTAACAGTGCACTGTGCAGTACACCATGCAGTGAGATGGCATGCGGTGAGCACGAGGAGCCCGGAGACATGCAGTGCACTGTGCAGTACACCATGCAGTGAGATGGCATGCGGTGAGCACGAGGATGCACCGGAGACATGCAGTGCACTGTGCAGTACACCATGCAGTGAGATGGCATGCGGTGAGCACGAGGACCGGCGTACCTTCGAAGATACCTGTGGCTTTGATACAGTACGCGGCGCCATACACCGCTGAACAGAGAGCGGGGCACGTTGCCGGAGCCTCTCGGCCCTCCCCCGTTTCAAATCGCTCGCCGCAGGCCATGTCAATGAACAGTGTCACACTGGTAACAGTCAATGGCGAGGGCTTGCAGAGGACAGAAAGATGGACAAGTCAGCGAGCATGAGTGCTAGTGGCTGCCATCTGTGCCAACTCTCAGAAGCGTTAGTTCCGCAGGCTGCAGGCAGAGCTCCACCGAACTCCGTCGCACTGAGAGGAAATGGTTGTTAGTTTTCCTCATCCTGGGGCCGGGGCTCTTACCTGTGACACATCAGAATGACTGCAGTTCTGTTAGTTGGCATGCGTGCGACCTGAGGTAAAATCCGTGTCGTTGTCCCTCCTCCCCCCCCCCCCCCATATGATAGCGAAATGGGTTGCTCTGACAAGCCAGAAAGATCTCCCTTTAAAACGCTCGTCGCAGGCCTTCCTGTGCATTCACTTGGAGCAGGAGAGGGCGATGAGGATCGGAGACGGCCCACTAGTGCTCAGATGAGAGGGCGATGGGGATCGGAGACGGCCCCGTAATGCTCAGATCGGCGGCCCGAAGCTTGCACAGGGAGATGAGCCAGGCATTCTTGTCACGTGCGACTCTGGTCCAGCGGTGAGCGTTTGCAATGTTGAAATACTTTTTGTTGGTGTCCCTGTCCACCACGTTACGGTCCAGCCCCTAACCTCTTTGAATATATACTAGTTTGCGCATGGCTTGCTGCATGACACTAATTTGAGAACCACTGAGTGGTTCCAGGGGAAAGCTGTGACCGGCATCTAAAATTCAAGCCGCTGGAAGTGGACTTTGACGGTTTGCGTGTTCTGAAATTGACAACTTTTGCTCTTTGAAATCAGCCTACGAAATTTATCCCCCAATCTGCAGAGATCTGAAAAATGACGGACCAGCACCACCGGCCTGCGAACACTTCACTAGACGTCACCTTGCGAGACCACAGACCATCAGCTACCACCAGCGGAAGCACCCATGCTCAAGGCCTCCACCATCACCACCACTAGGACGCAGGCTGCCCCCAGTCAGCTGGTTAGTGGCGCCGGCGGCCGCCAGGTCCGAAGGTCCGTCCGTGTACCAGAGGTACGTCCGTGTACCTTCGAACACCTGCGTCATCTTGACGCAGTACTGGGCGCCGTACACGTTGTCGCACGACTGCGGCTCCAGCAACGACGTGTCAGAGAGGAACTCGGCGCAGCCAATCTGGCTCGAGCTGTCGCACACGTAACACTGAATGGCTGCCGACGCCGGGGCTAGAACAGAAGCGGATCAAACGGAACATAAAGCGTGGTAAGGGCTGCCGGTGACGTCAAAATAATGAACATAGGCGCTCAGATGAGTTCACCGCGAGGTATCTACGGTAAAGGTGACATAAAAACATAGGAAAATTGAATTAATACAGTGTGGCACAGGGTTACCCACCGCCGTGCGGAAAGGGTCTATGAATGTAGCTATACAAGCAGTCATTTTTGTTTTAAAAAATAAACAAACGGGAGATAAAACGAAAGAATATCGAGGACATTACACGCAACATAATCAAAAGGCACAGTAAAGCATGGCAAAATGGGGAGACCATCGTACGCCAGACGATGTTTAATGCAGGTAACGATGTTGTAACCTTAAGCGAGCTCCAGGGATGCACATTTGTACAAATTATGGGGGGGGGGGGGGGGAGGAGCGAGCGGACGGCCAAACAACCTAGCCTAGCAGACGTGTGCTTCTCATGGGATTTAGCGCGTGGCGTTGGCTGAGAAAATTCATCTTCTTCAGTTTTGTATAGTTTATCAACTAGTCTTCTATTTCGACAGCCATGTCAGAATCATCAAGGTCATCCGATTATGCCCAGAAAAGGTAGTCTTTGTGCGACGCTTAGCCTCTTCCCAACTGGAATATAAGTTCGTGATAATCAAAGTTCGGATTCATGGATCTGAGGCAGCCTGCGTGAGCGGTGTGTTGGCCCTAAACCTTTACGTGTTGAATGTGTCGTTAATGCCCAATGACGTCTGCTATACACGGATCAGCACCGGTAGAGCAGGCGGAAACGGTCACAAACGCTGGAGTGTTCATAACTGCGAGAAAAAAACAGGCAAAAAAAAAACAGGACAGTCTCCCCTTACACGGTTAAACTAAGACTTTCGCGCGAAGTGCTAAGTATTACACCTTGGTGGGCGCGAAGCCGTGACAAACTGAAGCCGTGACAGGCTGAAGCCGTGACAGACTGAAGCCGTGACAGACTAAAGCCGTAACAGGCTGAAGCCGTGGCAGGCTGAAACCGTGGCCGGCGTGAACTCGTGGCAGGCGTGAAGCCGTGACGGTTTCATTGGTTCTCAATCAATCAACTGGCTCTCAATCAATGCCGTGCAAGGTATGCTGATGTAATCAAAAAATGACGGATCCAGGGCCATGTTTACTAAGCAGGGACATAGTGTTGCCTAGCGCACGCTTTTCCCCTGAAGGGAGCGTTCCACATTTAGATGGGATTTTGAGCTGAAATGCCTGTCTTGAAGACCTTTCGGTGCTGCTCACAGGTTTGCCCGTCTTAAGGCCACCTAGTTTCTGAGCTACACGCCTGCTAAAATGGGGGAAGTGTATCGGGGAGAGCATTTCAGTCGCCTGGGCATTCATGGCGTCATAACGACGTCTCACAAATGCTGCCATTCAGTAAGACATGCGGCGATCAAGGCAAAGAAAAATATGATCGTCAAGGCTTCACAGCTGGCGTTTGTGAGCGCGATTTCCAGATATAACGACCGTCAATTGGCTCTCAATCAATGTCGCGCAATGTACAATGACGTAATCAAACCATGACGCGTGGGGGAGCATATTTACTAAACTGAGAACTGTGCTGTCTAGAGCAGTCTTTTCCACTTAAAAGTGTATCAACAGCTGTAAGTGAGTTTGTTTCAAAACATCCGATGCTTGCTTCAATATTTTCAAATGTGAAACATTCCAGTGTAAGGGATCAGCAAGTCACCACGCCCAGCCACTCATCCATCTCCGAAAACCCGTAGTTCCTGACCACACACGGTCTCAGTCCAGCAGCCCGCTGTTCACAGGCCAGACGGCACGTGCCCTCAGGCCTGGGCTCCGTTGGTTCCCGTCCAGACGCATCGACCGTGGGAGCCAGCGGCCCACGCGCCGCACGGAGCCATGGAGAAACGCAATGCCGTTACAGTCGAACGACCGGGGGCGTATGCAGGATTTCGCAACAGGGAGACATAAAATTGACTGACAACCCTATTTTGGAAGCGACGCAGGCTCGCGGCGTTTTTTGCATGGCGAATCACATCACACGCACTTATCTTTTTTATCGCCACTTGATTTTCAAAAATAGGACACATTTCTATGCTTTCATTCGAAAGCATAGCAATGCGTGTACAAATTCGAAAAAGGGGAGAGGTAGGAATCCCAGTATCCCCTTGCATACGCCCCAGCTGTCAACAGGCATCAAACACGGCGTGGATGGATGTCTCCAGTCCGACTTCCTGATGACGGGTGGGATCGGGGCGGGGTTAGGCAGTCCGTCTCGCGCGGTTTCGTGCACCTGAGCTGGCCTGCCGCCGTCGGCAACGGCCGGCAGCAGGAGTGGCGGCGTGTACACGTCTGCCAGAGGATCGTGGACAGGCACGAATGCCACACAGTTTGGACCGCGCAAGCGTTACAGTAGATCAACTGGCCGACAAACGCATTCGAATGACGCAGCACACGGGAAACGCATCGCCAAGTTAAAGGCCTGCCAAAAAAACGCCGCACCGACGGGGCGCACATCTACGTTTCCTTCCAACGGCCAACTTACCGACTCTCAAACCCAGCGCCAGGAATGTCATCAGCACCCACATCATGCCGTCCACGGTGTCCCTCGCCATGTCGTCAAAGGCCCTCCGACATCGCACCCGTCACGCCTGCGCCGTGACTCACAGTACGCTCCCAGCCTGCGGACCCCGCGCGCGACACCAACGCGCCGCCTGTTCGTGCTGGACTGGCGGCGGCGCGGCGGCAGGGGCGCGTCCAGGAGCAATACCTGGGGAGCAGGGGCGCACCCAGCGGAACGAGCTTGGTCGAACTCTACATGTTGTGAGGAAAGGACCTGGAAGTAGGAATGGGAATGCAAATGCTAACAGGGTTTTGCCCTCAGCATTCTACATTCTTACGTCCCTGCCACGCCTTGCCACCGGGCCCGTTCCACACGAGCCGCATATCACCAAACAGAACCGACGCGTTTGAATTAGGTGGTCGCCTGCGTGGAGAGGGGGGGACCGCTCGTCCTTCAGCCTTTGTTCCCTGCTGCAGACATGAACGATGCGTTGTTGGAACGGGGAGTCCGCCAAATCATAGGTTTGCCTCTCACGACGGGGGTTAGTTACCCTATCATCATCAGAATCAGCACGGGTGGAAACCTGGAGACGCCCCTGGTTTGAATCCTCAACCACGCCTTGCCGCGTTAGTGCCCAGGGGGTGTGACTCACCTGCAGCCAGTATGATTTTCACAAAAAAGAAAGCCTGTCACCGGAGAAGTTGCAGCGTTCTGAGCGGCTCCCGCGCGGCGCGCATGGTCACATGCGCCGCCACAAGGAAGCGAGGGCAGCGGGACAGCGGCCGCTCGCCTAGTCTCAAAACGAAACCCACTAAATCCGGAGACTTTCCAAAGCCCGGGGAAATGTGGGTGGATTGGCGTGGCTTCTCCCGCCCCGCGCGCTGTTTCGCCACCCCAACCGCTTTCTTACCCCCTCGGCCGAAGACTGGCGACGCCGCTGCGAACACGGGGCACGCCACCAGCCTGCCACGCTTCTCCAAGAACCGAGTTGTTGTTGTTGCGGTCGACACAATATGTCCTTTTTTCTCGGTAGGTTTTCGTGAGATGCGAGTGGCCTAAGCCACCTGCTCCCGACGACAGCCCCCCCCCCCCCCGTTGACATTTCGCTGTCGGTCGGACTTTCCAGGGAGCCACCGCAACCACCGTCGACGCCTCCAGCGGAGGGATCATGATCCGGTGCCACCACTGGCGCCGCCACTGTGGATGCCAGTCTGGTTCAGCTTCGACTTAGGCGAGATCGTCTCCCATTGCTCCGATTTTAAGACGTGTTCCCACCTTCGCCGCCCAGCGCACATGGCTTGAAGCGCCGGGCCAAATCCAGAGACAGAGAGAGCACGACATCTTTAAAACTCGCGACATCAACCAACAAAAAGCAGCAGTCTCGCCAGTCTATATTAACAAAACGTTCCTTCCCATCAAAGCATCACCTCTCACACCGATCGCCACAGGCGACAGACAGCAGTCACGGAGCGGCAGCTGTGGGCCGCTGCTGGGTCCGCTCGACACCAGCAGCACCCCACCGCGGCCCCCGACACGCGCGCGCTCTGGCGAGATCGGCACGCCTGCAGCCCACGCGCACGGGGTGCCGACATGGAGTCACACACACTGGGCCACCACAGGCCCGGTGACAGGACGTGTTTAAAGGTTAGTCGTTAGGAGGGTGCGCGAACGGATCCGCGTGCACGCCCACACTCATGTTCGGAGCCACCCTACGGGGGTGGGAGGTTAGGCCTCACCAAGCGGGGACCGTCACAGAAAGCCAGAGAAGTGGAAGGCGACACAGGCGATCGATCGCTCCGTCCCCCGCCGCTCCCCGGGGCCACCCCCGCCGCCGCCGCCACGGTCACACTCACGAGACGAGACATACCCGCAGCGCGCACGACGGCCGCGCTGCAAGGCATCCATCGACCTCGCCGCCAGTCCCGCACCGCACCGCGCTGCCGGCGGCCGGCGGGGGAGGGGGGGGGGGGGGGGGGGAGGGGCGCAGCGCAACACGGCCCGCTCAGCAGTTGTCGGCGGGCAGCGACGTCTTGTCCAGGTCGTTGAAGTAGGGGTGCTTCAGCATGGCTCTCGCGGAGATCCGCTTCGCCGGGTCGTACACCAGCGTCTCCTGTGGTCAGGGTAGGGGTCAGAGCGTACACCAGCGTCTCCTGTGGTCAGGGGAGATGTCAGAGCATACAATGGCCGTACACCAGCGTCTCCTGTGGTGAGGGTAGGGGTCAGAGCATACAATGGCCGTACACCAGCGTCTCCTGTGGTCAGGGTAGGGGTCAGAGCGTACACCAGCGTCTCCTGTGATCAGGGGAGATGTCAGAGCATACAATGGCCGTACACCAGCGTCTCCTGTGATCAGGGGAGATGTCAGAGCATACAATGGCCGTACACCAGCGTCTCCTGTGGTCAGGGGAGATGTCAGAGCATACAATGGCCGTACACCAGCGTCTCCTGTGATCAGGGGAGATGTCAGAGCATGCAATGGCCGTACACCAGCGTCTCCTGTGGTCAGGGCAGGGGTCAGAGCGTACACCAGCGTCTCCTGTGATCAGGGCAGGGGTCAGAGCGTACACCAGCGTCTCCTGTGATCAGGGGAGATGTCAGAGCATACAACGGCCGTACACCAGCGTCTCCTGTGGTCAGGGGAGATGTCAGAGCATACAATGGCCGTACACCAGCGTCTCCTGTGGTCAGGGGAGATGTCAGAGCATACAATGGCCGTACACCAGCGTCTCCTGTGATCAGGGGAGATGTCAGAGCATACAATGGCCGTACACCAGAGTCTCCTGTGATCAGGGGAGACGTCAGAGCATACAATGGCCGTACACCAGCGTCTCCTGTGGTCAGGGCAGGGGTCAGAGCGTACACCAGCGTCTCCTGTGATCAGGGCAGGGGTCAGAGCGTACACCAGCGTCTCCTGTGGCTAGGCAAGGGTCAGAGCACAGTCGCAGCAGGACAAGGCTGTGCACCAGTGTTTCCTGGGGTCTAAGTGCAGGAGTCTAATCACACCATACAGTGCAGTCTCATGGAATCAAACATCAGCTCAGGTCACCCGTACTGACCTGGACTACCATCTGGGATCTGGTTGCTGTTAAATGTGGTTTCAGAGAGTTGAACTGCTGAGGTCATATTGGACCCGTCTGACCCTTCTGGACCGACCAGCGGTGGACTGAGACCAACCTGCTGACTGCGCTGACCTGCAGTCAGCTGAACACTCTGGACTGCACCCAGGACTGGACTGGACCACGGTGCACCGAAACCTCCCATACCGATTCGGTGCGGACTGACCTCAGGCTGACCCCAGGCAATCAGACACCCCCTGCTCCGACCTGGGGCGAACCAACTCTTTGTACGGGACCGCAGCACACCGACCCGGGCCTGGGATGGGTGGGCTTCCGTACCGACCAAGAGCAGACTGAGAACCCTGACCTGACCTGGAGTAGGCTGAGAGCCCTGAGCTGGCCTGGAACAGACTGAGAACCCTGACCTGACCTGACCTGACCTGAGAGAACCCTGACCTGACCTGAGCAGACTGAACTGGCCTGGAGCTGACTGAGAAGCCTGAACTGACCACGAGCAAACTGAGAGCCCTGAACTGGCCAGGAGCAAAGTGAGGACCCTGACCTGGTCTGGAGCAGACTGGCCGCCTCTGCCGTGACCCGCAGTGGACTGGTGCCCCATGCACTGATCACTGACAGCCCCCCCCCCCCCATGCACTGATCACTGACAGCCCCCCCATGCACTGATCACTGACGGCCCGGACGCCACCTGCGCTGACCGCACGCGCCTCGACGCCCTCCACACTGATACAACCACACAGTCACTGTCAGCAGACCTCCGGAGGACAGCCCCCCACCCTCCACTCTCTCCCCGCTACGACCCGACGGCGGCCGGCGCTCGTCACCAGCTGACCTGCAGCAGGTTAAGGCCCTCCGGGCAGATGCCCTTGACGCTGTCGGCCAGCTGGTTCTCCGTCCAGTTGGGGAAGCTGGACTTGTAGTCGGGCATCTCGCTGACGCCGGGCCAGATCTCCTCAGTGGGGGTCTTCAGGGTCCTGCGGCACGTGGCGTGGTGTTCAAGAGGCGACCGCAGTGGTCCGCTGGCAGGCTCGGGCGGACTGCTTGGACCCGGTACAACAGCGCAACACCCGAAAGACAGGAACCGCATGTTATGCTCAACAATGACCTGAAAGTTCCCTGGGGTGAGGACTAAATTTCAAGCAAATTTCAAGATCGATACTTTTCAAGAGCTCCATCATGGGCATTTCAAGAACACCATAGATGTATACACCATATATACATATATACATATACATATATATACACATATATATATATATATATATATATATATATATATATACACATATATATATATATATATATATATATATATATATATATACGTATATATATATATATATATATATATATATATATATATACATATATATATATATACATATATGTATATATATATACGTATATATTTCAACACGTTTCACGCATGAAAGTTCTTGTTTCTCAGACATCTCAGGCCGTTCAGCGCTGCCGCCAGCCCCTGCCGCCAGCCCTGCCTGGCTGGACGAGCGGCTGGACGAGCCACGTCGGCGCCTCACCGGAATATCCGGAACAGCTGGTCGATCTCCGAGTCGCCGTGGAAGAGCGGCCGCTTGTTGATCATCTCGGCTGTGATGGTGCCTGGCGAGCGCACGGGCGGAGCCGGTGAGCACGCCGCACGCACGAGGACGAGGACGAGCATGGATGAACACGGAGGAGGACGGAGCCGGTGAGCACGCCGCATGGACGAGGACGAGCATGGACGAGCGCAGTCATGCGAGCACGGACACATCTAGTGCATTCGAAACGATCCGCGCGCTCAAAACATAAACGGAGCATTTCGAATATGGCTCGCTGATAGCACGCGCACACACACGCTTCAGTCATTGATCGCGGACTCGGGTCTGTCGCTAGCCATGTTTTCGTGATCTGCCAAGGGGGATGCACGCAAACATGGAACAATGCCTGAAATTGCATGGCGTAATACTACGTCCACCGCAACGTCCCGTATTTCCATGAATAAACAGCGGTCGCAGTCAGGCACGGGGCGGAGACCGCACCAGCACCACCACGGCGAGGCATGCGACTGGACGCGCA